GGGCCAAAAAGTTTGCCCACCCCTATTATAGTCCAGTGTTCATATTCAGAGTGATCCAGATGGGACTGGAGATCTCAGTCTTACGACTCAAGCTTCCCCTGGATAAAGCATCAAGCAGATCTGAGATAAAAAGCATCAAAACCCAAGACTTCTTTATACAGTTCCAGGCCTTCTCTTGACAGCGTGGAGTTCTTAGGCGAACGATAGGCAATCATAGAGACTTTGAAGTAGACCTATTTCCTATGCATCACCAGTAATTAGTTATAGGGATTAACTAAGGCAATTGCTGGTTTTCCACCATTCAGAGGTGATTTGCTAAACATTTTAAAGAGAGATGAATACAGTGATGTCACTATATTTATAGTTCACTTAAATGTTAAGATTTCCTTTTGATCTCTGAATTAACAGGATACAGCACAGGCAGGGACTCTTTGGTTACATTGTTAACCTCTAACAATATATATGTAAACACACAAAACACAAACATTATCTACCAATATGTCCCTAAAGGTTGAATTTGGGTCATTTATCCGGCAGGATGCTTAACCCTTTCTGGCCATGTGTCACAGCTAGGCTTTGTCCACACCCACACACAAATACACAGCCCTTGCCCCAAGCCATTAAGAATCTAACTAAATAAAGCTTTCTAAAAAGTTTCTCAACAGCTTGTGCAATTTTTCATTTTCCAGCCTCACGCTGTAATGAGTGTTTTTAATAATTATGCCTATTTCTTATATAGATCAGTAGATCTCAAAGCACTTCATCTTTTAATGTATTTATCCTTATCATACCTATGTGAGGTTGGGAAGCACTATTAGTCCCATTTTAATGATGGGGAAACTGAAGCACAGAGAGGCTAAGTGACTTGCCTATGGAATACTAGATGTGCATGATAGAGCTGGGAACTGAACACTAGTCTCCTGTGCCCAGACTAGTGCCTAACCACCAGACCATGGTTCCCCTCAAAGGGCAAACCACACACAAAGGGAACTTTTTCAGAAAAGATGACCACTCTTATTTCAGCTTTACATAGCTAAATTACCAAGAGTGTATTGTTGATTCATGAATCGAATAAGAGACACAACAGGGGACAGATTAACATGTCTGCCCTCTTACTTCAATGGATCTCCTAATACAAGTACTTTGACAGCAAGTGTTCACAGGAAGACATATGCCAGATGTTAATCATGTTGCTTAGTGCACTACTGGCAGATGCTCAGATACTGTGGTGATGAGGCTGGTATAAGAACCTGAATAAAATAGAATAGGATTGGGCAAATAGATTGTAAATTCATTGGGACAGGGACTTATCGTCATCAGTATTCAAAGCACCATGACATGTAAGGTGCTCTATATGTAAATAAGTTCCTAACTATGTGTATATACAGCAGCTAGTATAGTATGATCTTGTCCTTGGTTATGGATTTTAGACATTACTGTAATACAAATGACTAAGTATTTAAAACAGGCCTGGTAATATTTTAGTAAATAATTCAAGTCAGATAGAATTTATAATTTGTCACTGAATAGGACACAACTGATACAAAAGTACTTTGGACACCGACTTTGAAAGAAGATTTAAACCGCAGGGGGGAGAGGTGCTCACGGGAGGGGCTTTAGCCCCGTGGGGGGGCAAGGTGCTGGGGCTCAGGGCTTCAGCCCCATGCGAGGTGCTGGGGTTTAGGGCTTCTGTGCCATGGAACGTGCCAGGACTTGGGCTTTCAGTCCCATGGGAGGTGCTGGGGCTCCCACAGGTTTGAAAATATTTACTGGAGCTCTGCTCTGGATGGCTCCAGCTGAATTTAAGCCCTGCCCAAATCATTAAGTTTGGATCCAAATCTGAACTTCCCAAGTGTTTGCAGAGTTTTATGTCAAGTTTTAGATCAGGCTATCTCTGTGAAATATCAGTGCTAATGGGCTTCCAAGTGCGTACACACAGAGTCACAGTATTTGTGCATGCTATAAAAATCAGACAGTCTCTCTGGTTTTGCTGCATTATAACTCATATATTGATCAGGAAATCACTAGTAAAGCCATTTGTCAGACAGTAATCAAACTGCTTTGCACTTGTCAGGATACAGCACCTGTCATCCAAGGACCTCCAACTTTTTACAAACAATAACTGGTCTTCACAACAGCCCTTTGAAACTAGTAACAGCTCTAGTATCAAATATTAGTAGTACCACCTGTCCAGTACAAGCACCACTAACAATTTCTGCTGAAAGATGCACTACTATTACAGTATTATTTGCTGAGGAGAAATAATATGCTTACCATAATATATACTTAATAGTAAGGCATAATTCCATCCTCGGGGAGCTTAGGACCTGATTTGCTGACAAGCACCCTTATTTCCCATTGACTACAACTCAGGTCTTCTGAAAAATCAGGAATTAGACAGTACAGTATCCCTGCAGTACACAGGGAACAATGCAAATCCAATGTGGCAGCACTGACCAAGAAATAGGATAACTGAAAGGGTTCATGCAATAGGTGTATTTTCTGGAGAGATGTGAAATATTAACTTTGAAGGAAATTACCATTAGCATTAATTGCTTAAACATCTAGCAACTTCCTAATTGGTCTCACACCATACATTTTGAGGAACTAATCATTTAAAGTATGTATTCAAATCCACATAAAGTTCATAGTGATTGAAATGTCACTGTCTGATGGCTGGTCAGTAGTTATATGATAACTGATACCCAAGTATTTTAGACAGATTTGCAAATAAGAAAGAATACTTGATAATGGTCCCTTGATAAAATGAACATGTAAATATCACTAGTACAATTCTGACTGGTGCCTTTTATTAGTATCAGTGCAGTTCAGACTGCATTAAGCGTGTACTAACTAATAGCCTGAGTGATAGTCTCAGTGGACAGGCTAAGAGGTGATTAGGCAAGGAAACTGAAGGTAGACCCAGATCCACATAGGGACTTAAGTACTATGAAAATCACCGGAATCCACAAAGCCTGGGCTTGGCACCTAGGATCCTTGTACAATGAATGAGGAGAAATAGGTGCCTAAGAATGGGATCCACAAAAGCCAGCACACTAGGCAGGAAGCTACCTAAATGGAGATACTCATGAGAATGTGTGCCCTAAGCCTCACCCCCTCCCAGAATTAGGCACTTATCCCTGCTTGTGATCCACAGCTAGGAACCCCTCTCTTCGAGTCAGACAGCTTAGGAGCCCAAGCCATTCTTTCAAGAAATGTGGGAGAAAGAGACAATCAAAGCATCACATTCCTTATAAGTAACCATTGGGCTGAAAGCATTCACCCAGACTGTGGGAGACCCAGGTTCAATTCCTCCCTTTGCCTGATGAGGCAAAAGTATTTGAACAGCAGTCTCCTGCCACTCAGGAGAGTGCCCTAACCACTGGGCTATGGGATACTCTGAGGTGGAGCATCCTCAGGCTCTTTTGAAGCTATTCCACTTTGGCTAATTAAACAGTCATTGAGCCAAAGAGCAAGTATGAGAATGACTCTAAAACCCAGTGGTTAGGGCACTCACCTGGAAAATAAGAGACCTAGGGTCCAGTCCTTCTGCCCCAATTATTTATATGATAGCCCGTTGTGCAAATAGGGTGGTATGGTCCAGTACGGCTTACCAGTAACATATTTATAGCTGAAAGAAAAGGAGCATTTGTGGCACCTTAGAGACTAACCAATTTATTTGAGCAATAAATTGGTTAGTCTCTAAGGTGCCACAAGTACTCCTTTTCTTTTTGCAAATACAGACTAACAGGGCTTGTTAGGATATAGATATTCAGGCCTGTCTGTAAAGGCCTGTACTTTAAGAATTTAGGTGTATTCTTATCACTTGGCTAGTTAGAGGTATAAAAGAAAGAATCAAAATCACTGTCTGCCAGTGTAAGGTCCTTCTCTTACTGTGACAGTCTGGGGCCCTGTTCTTAGGCTAAGGCCTTTGGCTAAGCGACAGAGGCAGCCATAAGCTGGAAAGCGACCGGTCACATCCTCACATTCCAAAGTAGTCACATGGAAAGAAGGTGCTATTGGGCTGTTAGGAATACAATCCTGTCCTGATAGTGCCTATCAGCTCCAGAGAAAGGGAAGTGCCTAGAAAATGAAAAGGAGTACTTGTGGCACCTTAGAGACTAACCAATTTATTTGAGCATGAGCTTTCGTGAGCTTCATCTGATGAAGTGAGCTGTAGCTCACGAAAGCTCATGCTCAAATAAATTGGTTAGTCTCTAAGGTGCCACAAGTACTCCTTTTCTTTTTGCGAATACAGACTAACACGGCTGTTCCTCTGAAACCTGCCTAGAAAATGTAAAAGAAAACTTAGTTTGATAGCATCCTGTCTGGCAAGAACTCACTTATCAATACTGGGATGTGAAATCCTCACTTCTGTATTGTCTTGCCATTATAGTTCCCACTTTGCTATTGTTTGTCTGTATAATCTCTGTCTGGTTCTGTGATTGTTCCTGTCTGCTATATAATTAATTTTGCTGGGTGTAAACTAATTAAGGTGGTGGGATATAATTGGTTACATAATCATGTTACAATATGTTAGGATTGGTTAGTTAAATTTTAGTAGAATGATTGGTTAAGGTATAGCTAAGAATATTACTATATAAATTAGGGGCAAACAGGAAGTAAGTTGGGATTCGGAAATAAGGAAAAGGAACTTGTATTTAAGCCTGCTGGAAGTTCACCCCAATAAACATCGAATTGTTTGCACCTTCGGACTTCGGGTATTGTTGCTCTCTGTTCATGTGAGAAGGACCAGGGAAGTGGGAGAGTGAAGGAATAAGCTCTCTAACAGGGCTGTTACTCTGAAACCTATATTTATAGCTGCTACGCCGTACCAGAAAGACGCAGCAGAAGCAGAACGTGGGGCCGCCTGGCAGCCGCACACCAGCAGCTCCTCTGGCGCGGCTGTACCTCCCCCAGCCCTTCCACGCAGCTCCGTCTAGCATCCCCTGTCTGGGGTCTGCAGGCAGCCCGCGGAAAGACAGGGCTGGGGGCGGTACCGGTACAGCAGCGCCAGAGGAGCTGCTGGCATGCGGCTGCGCGGTGGCTCCAGGTTCCGCTCCTTTCGCTGCTGCGGTTCCTGGGAGAGCCCCGCGGTTCAGAAGTCTCCGGTGCAAGGGGAGGAGAACAGAGCCTCCCCGCTAGGTAACGTGGGATGGACCACGGGGAGGGGAGGAGAAGACTGTGGGGCCCCTGCCAGGAACCCCTCAGCACTGAACCCCCTTCCCCAAGACACGGCCACCCTGACTCCTCCAGCCCGTGCACCCCCCAAACGCCACACCCCATGCCTCGCACCCGCCCCGCCGCTCAGTCCCACCCCACAGCCTACCTACAGCCCGCTCCCCTCCGCCGCCCCATTCCTCGCCCACCCCTCTCGCAGCACCCACCGCGCCCTCGCACGCGCCACCGGCTCGCCCCGCCCCGTCACAAGGCGCCTCCGGCCAATCCCCGCGGTGGGGGCTGTGACGTATCCGCAAGGACGGTAACTCCGCCCCTCTCCGACAGTCGCGGAAAGGAGACCTCCAATATCCCAGCAATCCCCGCGCAATCGCGCCGGCTGAGCAACGCCGTGGCGCAGGCGCAGGGGGCTGCCATGGCGGAGCTGGCGGTCGGGCAGCACTGCGGGGTGGAGCACTGCGGCCAGCTGGGTCGGTGAGGGGGCACGCGGGGCCGCGAGCGCGAGCTGCCTGGGGCGGGACACGCCGGGGAGGGGGGAGGCTTGCGAGTCTGGTGCTGTAAAAAGGGACGTGGCAGCTAGCAAGGGGCGTGGCACCCGTTGCGAGAGGCAGGGACTGGCGAGAGGGGGCGTGGCCAGGTGGGCAGGGGGCGTGGCGGGGGCGAGGGGGCGGTGACCCTGTGCGCGCCGCTGACCCCTGCTGGCTGGGCTCAGCCTCGCGGCCGGTGCTGCCTGTGCGCCCGTCGCCCCCGAACCCGGGACGGTGCAGTGAGGCTGCTCGGTCTGAGTCCGAGAGGTCCTCTCTCGCCGCCATCAGAGGGCAGGTGTCGTGTGTGTGTGTGTGAGTTACTGCACACAACCGGTTTCCACAAGAGGTTGAGGCCCCTGGCAGTTAGGTTGCCAGCGTCAGCATGCGGAGGAATTCGTGTTTGGAGGAACATGTTAAAAGCATGTTTCGATTACAGGGCGGCATCTGAAGCGTCATTAAGGAAAGGGTGCCTTCGCTGGACATAGTTTTGGTTTCGTTTACCATAATGTTTTCAACAGCTGACAGAATTTCCAGCCCCATTTGATGGGGATTAGGGCAGGTGGACTGAAGTGTGTAGTTTAGTGAACAAGAAAAAAAACAGTTTAGCTTTGCAGAGCCGCTGTTAATGGGGCTAACAGCCTCGTTCCTCCTGGTCTGGCATTACAGTTTTATGGCGGACAAGGGAGAATCTTTGAAATCAATGCCATTCCAGTGCCTAATGAGATGTGTAATAGTACCACACAAGCTAGGAGAGCCATAGGGAGCTTTGTGGCCACACTTTCTGCCATTTCTTTTAGAACTGTGGTACTACTTACCCGTGTTTTGTTTACACCAGCAATTTTTGGGAGAACTCTCACCATTGCTGCGTTAGTGTAGATGGGGTTCAAATGTTTTTCTGTCTCCTTGTTGAGCTTTGCTCTGAGCAGTTTTAGGTAACACATTTGTAAAAAAAATCTATCCCTGTCTGCTCTAGTGGTAGCACCATTGGAGCTGACGTGGTGCAGTGGTAGTGCAAAACTGGGAGATTTTCTGAAAAATGCTTGTTCAGGAACAGCCATAAAGACAGCAGAAGTTGTGAAGAGAGGTTCAGTCTTGTTAAAGGTTGGCAAAAGGTCACTTTGCAAATACCAGATTTGATGGGAAATGTATATTATAAGACCTTGCACTCCTATAGCACCTTTCATTAAAAGTTGTCGTAATGCTTTACAAACATTAATTAGGGAAACATCACACCTCTGCATTCTGAAATCCCATTTGCGGATGGGGAAACTGACACATAGAAAGATATGGGGTGCAGTTGTGCAACCTTTATTCATGTTGGTAATCATTTATTAATAGGAACAGTCTTGTTGAAGTCAGTGAGACTACTTTCATGAGTAGTGCTCATCATTATGAGTAAAGGTCACACACTGGACTAAGTGACTTGCCTGAGTTTATACAGGAAGTTAGCAGTAGAACCAGGAATAGAGCCCAGTAAACTGGACTGATGCCCAGTACCATGGTCTAAGTACTAGACATGGTTTCACCCCTGTAAAAAATAAAGCATTCATATATGACTGATTGCACCAGTCATTCTACATAATAGCTTAAATATCTAGATTTGCCACAGAATTAAGGGATTAATATATATCAAAAGATAAGATTGGTTTGTGCCTCATGTTATAATAGTTGTACAAAAGCAAAGATTCTCCCTTGTACTCCATAAAACTGTAACTGGGCTACTGATCAGGGTGATCTTGCCATAAATAATAAATTGGCTGACACTGATAAAATACAACTTGCTTTTCTTTATGTTTTTGTTTAAATAGATTTTATATAAAAAAAAACCTGTTAGCACTGCTTACAGACATGCACTTCAAATTCCTACTCCTAGAATATACATGCATGCACTTCATTTTACCTCTTATTTTGTTAGTAGCAGTAGCAAACTAGAGTATACTGTGCACGTTTTAAGATGTGCTACCAAAAAACAACAACATTGTTAAGTAGATTGAACTTTTTTAGTCTTTTTGAGTCTGTAGAATTGACAAATAAGACTTGGTCCAAGTTATTAAATATTAATGCAGGCACTGTATGAAGGGGCTGAATGTAAATTGGTTTGAATGCTTTGGTAGGGAAGACATTTTGTGTTTATTTCTTGTGGGTATTGGTAGTTAACCTTATAAATATCTAGACTAAAAACTATTAGCTAAATAATTGCCTTATGTAACTAAAAAATCCCTCTCTTTTGGTTTCAGATTTTCTGCCCTTTGTATGTGATGGCTGTTCAGGAGTTTTTTGGTAAGACATCATATAATATAAGATCTTAGACACACTTAAACTTGAATCCAACTACCAAAAAGGAAAAGTTACAGTATTTTAAACTGAACAGGAAAATCAAGGAGGGTGTCACTTTTGATTTAATAAAAGAGGAGATAACAAGTTTTTTGTTGCATAAATTCAGGAACAAATATCAGGAATTCTTATTAATGTCCTATTTTATTTCCCCGGGTCTTTTGGGAATGAGTGCACTTAGACAAAGAAGATGGCCATATTCCATAGGGCATATTTGGTCTTCAGCTTGTGCTGTTGGTACCTTCAATTTAAGTCAACAGGAAGACTATTTTGTACGCAGCCAGATCAAAACAGAGTTGTCTCACTTAGAGCTCCCTATGTTGGAGTTAAAATTCTTGGAACGCATACTATAAATTTAGCTCTTTTCCAGTTAAGCTGTCAGATAAAGCAGCTCACTGCTCATAGCCTTCTTATTGCTTTCTGGTAATATGTGGTCAAATGAACTCATTTACCTTTCTGCTTCCAGTTCTGAGAATCTTGATAAATAAATGTTCTCTCTATATATTTGATGTGACACTCAAATTAGATAAGATTCTGATGTGAGTCTTCCTCAGTCTCTCCTGTTGAAGATGTTCTGCTTTGGAGAAATAATTAAATAGTCATTGGGTCAGCGAGAGGGAGTGAGAATGTCTCTCTAGCCTGATAATTAGAGCACCTATCTGGAAGATGAGAGACCCAGGGTCCAGACCCTCTGCTCTATTGACTGGGTCTGCCACATCCTGGGTGAGGGCTCTAGCCACTGGGCTGAAAGTTATAAGGGAGGCATGCACCTCCTGCCTCCTTCCTGGATTTTGAATGTATTTCAGGCTGGTAGGCATGCTAAGAGCAGGCTTACCAGATTGGACTATGCAAGCAAGATAGGTGCTCCTCCATTGGCCCCCTTTTGTGGATTGTGCTGGGGTTTAGGCATGAGATTGGATGGCAGAAACTGAGGTGGCCAGGGAACTTTTACAGCAAAAATGTAGGTGCTGAGCGAGTTTACAGTTGGGCAGTAGCTGAGTGAGGTTTTATGGATCACTGAGGGGCTTAAAACTGGGATTAGATCTGGGGTTTAGCCAGCTAAGTTGATTTGTGGATCTGGGCCTTAGTTTTAAGCATGTGAGTAGCCCCTTTCACTAAAAGTACTTTGCTGAATTGGGGCCTAATTTTTGAGAACTAAACCTTCATATGACACTTTTAGTTTTAAAACCAATCCCCTTGGTGATAAAAATCTGCAGGCTGGTACAAGTTTTGGAAGAGAATAGTGGTTATTTAGTTGAAATTTGATCATGATGTAAGCCTTGCTACATTACAATTTATCAAACACTTGTATGCGCTCATGTTTTCTTTTTTCTTTTTGAAATTTGGATAGTGATGGGGACTTTTTTCTTTTAATTCTAAGCCTTCAACATAGAAGCCGGGATTCTCATGGCTGTTCTGAGGTAAATTGATAATTTGTGATTTCTTTGCAAGACATCAAAACCCCACAAAACCTGGTTATTGGGGACATTCAATTGACATAGCTGCAAATGGAGAACTTTTGTGTGTTTGTGCATTTGTGTGTCTGTTTGTAGCTTGCAGGTTTCCCTTAAAGCACTCTAAGTTAATTTACTGTTTTTCTGTAATGTCAGAATCAAAGCACTAAAGCAAGTTGGATAAGGATGCAAGTTATTTTTCATTACATATGTTTATTTACACTGCATGTTTCTTAATAATGTTTAGGTGAATATAAGAAGCGAGAGCATGAAATCGGACGAACACAGATCTTACCCATGCACGTATACGGGCTGCAATGGAAAAGAGCTTTTACCAGTTTTATGCCCCTACTGCAAGAAACAGTTTTGCTTAAGGTGAGCAGAGAAAAGAGTTGAAACACGTACGCTCTGTCATTAACATATGGAACATCTAATGAGAGTTTGCTGTTCTATTGTTTATAGACACCGTCATCAGTCAGACCATGAGTGTGAGAAACTGGATACCCCTAAACCTCGCATGGCTGCTACCCAGAAGCTAGTTAAAGATATTATAGGCAAGTTGCCCAGTTGCTGATAGGATATTTATTGTATTATTTTCTTCAGTGGACTGTTTGAGCTTTTGTATTAGTCTAGAGGTCCAAGCTTGTCAAAAGAACGAAGGTTCCTTGAGTGGATGAACCCTACGTGTGAGTGTCTATATATAGCTCTGCTCCTATATTTGGAGTGTACACGATACACTGTGTCAGATGTCCCTAAAGTGTGCCCTGAAATCCAGATATGGCCCAGGCTGCCCTTTCCGTACAAATACAGGATGAGGACAAAGCTGATGGACCCTGGATTTTATTGTTAATCAAGTCTAAATATCAATTTCTGTTATGATGAAAGCTGCAGTGTAGGCACACCCATAGAGGCAGTTCTAAATTATTCCAGTGCACTGAACTCTAAACATTTTGTGACAATAGACACAATGGTAATTTCATTTGTAACAGAGTGAAAGAAAATGTGACTTGCAGTAACTTTCAGAAATAATATTTTCCCCAGATTCTAAAAAGGAAGAGGCAGTAAGAAGCAAAAGACGGAAAGGAGCAAAAAACAGTGAAACAGCGGCAAAGGTGGCACTAATAAAACTGAAAATGCACGCGTGTGGGGATAAGTCCTTGCCACAGGTCAGTCCTTGCAGTTGCTTTCAAACACATCTGTGATTCTGATTTACTCTATTATTTAAGGATATAAACAGATTTCTAGACTTCTGTTGTTAATTTTACTCTCTCGTTGAGAGTAAAAAAGAATATTAAAAAAGAAGTATTCTGTTTACGTATTTTTGTTTCTGAATTAGCCCCTGAAAACACAGTCATTTATACTTATGCTTAACTTCACACACAAGAGTAGTCCCATTGAACTCAGTGGAGTACTTGTGTGTAAAATTCAGCATATGCAGGATCAGGGCCTGAATCTCCTGTCTGAAGGCAAATCCTCTTATATTGTGTGTGAGAGAGAAAATGGACATGTATTTTGCTACTTAAACAGCAAATTAATCTGCGACACTAACCATGAACAAATTGCAGCCCAAAAGAAGGCCTGGTCTACACTACTAAGGGCTGTGAAAAATGTTTGTGCCCTGGTGTGACATAGTTCAGTTTAATCCCCACTGTAGACATAATCAGCCTAGCTACCGCCTCTCAGAGAGATGGATTACTTTAATTGACAGAAAACCCCTTCCGACAATGAAGGAAGCATCTACACTACCATAGTTGTGCCGCTGAAGCATAGACATGGCCCAAGTCTTAAAGCCTATAACCCCTGAAGCACTGCCTGCCCTCTCATGTGGATGCAGTGACCCTGGTTGGTGCATGGAGGGTGCAATTTGTGTATCTTTGTGCTAGCCAGGAGAAATCCTGGCTCATACTTGACCTGAGCTTTGAGTGAGAGCAAGATTTGTTCACACTTCTGCTGCAGTTTAGCTGAGCTAAATATCTCACCATAGCCAAGGTCAGCAGCATCCATTACTTCACAGATTCTTCATTGTTTCTCACTATGATCATTCAGAGCAACATCTCCATTTTTTTTCAAGCCAGGAGGATTTTTAGTTTGTAAACGTCTTTCCATTTCCCTCTTACAAGATTTCATTCTAGACCAGTTTGTAATTTTACATATTGGTCACATCATATACAATGCATTTCCTCATTTTTACTATTGGTCTTTGTCTTGTTTTACATTTAATTATTGTAAAACAAACTTAGCTCTTCCCTCTCTGAATCCTGTTATGACTTCTTTTTCTCTGCTACAAATCATCACATGCTTGGAGTACAAATTAGAAATTCCTGTTTAGGTAGCAATCTTAACGTGAAGTCCTGCTTGCCACACAGTCCTTAGATTATGCCATTTTAATAGATGTATGAATGGAGACAGTGATTAATGTCGTGAGATGCAGGAGGTAACATAATGAGTTTGGGTTTTTTTGTTATAAGGAAATTAAATTGCTGCTCCCTAACTCTAAAGATCGTAACCCACAGCACAAATGGTTCTATGTTAATTCCTTTCATTATTCATTTGCTTAACTGGAGTTTAATTTGTTTAATCATCTAGAATAGTGATAATCTATCACAGATGCAATTAAACTCCAACCCACAATTCTCCTCTCTTTTCAGTTGCCTTCTCAGTCTCTCTTCCCAGCCCTCATTCTGTGCTATTCTCCCCAACTCTCCTTTCAGCCTGGTGACAGATGTCCCTTGGATCCCTCTCTGTCGCATCACTTCTCACAGCTGGAAAGTTGGTCTAGTTAAGCCCTCAGGTTTTTCTTGTCAGGCCTTTTCTAAATTTCTAGGGGTTTTTTTTAGATTGTTTCCCAGGGTATGTCTTTACTTCAGAATAAACTCAAGTTACTCCTCTTGAGTTTGCCTGGCTTGAGTGAGAGTATTCAGATTGTGAAATAACAGTCAAGTTGCTAAGTCTACCCTGGCACTGTACTCACTCAGGTGTTGCAGTGAGACTTCTGGAGGAACATCTCATGGTTAATATTGCAGTAAGCTGAGCCACTGTCTGAATTCTGTCCCAGTGAATTGTGAGAGATCTTGTCTGTCCTTTCTGGGCACACAGTAGGAATTGTGGGAAAGCATTGGAGGACTATTGGCAGTGGAGTGGCACTATCCTGCATCCAACTATAGAGTGGTCATGTTAGTGGGTTATGAATTGCGCTTGTTTGAGTTTCAGCCTATATCCCCTCTTGGGCCAGCTAACTTGAGTTAAAAGCAGCACCACACTTGAGTTAAAGGTTTTTGTATGTGGACGGAATTCAGGTTAGGGTCAGCGCTCAAGTTATTACTTGAGTTAACTGCAGTGAAGGCAAGCCCACAGACTTAGGGGTAGTGTGGGTGGGGAGGTATGAATTCTTTTTAGGGGAAGCCCAAGTAAAACCAATGAAAAGAAGAAATATTTTTTATCTTGCTTACTTGCTTTCAGCTGGCACCTGGCGAAGGCGAACCTATCTATTGTGTTTATAGATCATAAAATAGAAGTTGATGAAACCAGGGAAACAAGTGTGAAGGGGAAACAAACCAGAAAAAAACAGGTTACCCTTACTTCATATTTAAAATATGCATCTTTTAGGAAATAAAGATTGTAATAGTACCCTCTCTTATAAATGCTTCAGTCATGGGGAAGGCCACATGCTGCCTTTTGGTACCTACAGGGAGGAGGGATGAGATGAAGGTTGAGAAGCTGGCCTAGACAAAAGTGCTGGCAGGCACCTCTAATATCACTGATTGCTCTTTATCATCAGAGCTCAAGCACATCAGCTCCACAATGTACATGACTACCAGCAGGCTTTTGTTTGCCTTCCCGCTTGGGTCTTCCACAGTATTGTGACATATCATATTCCTGACACACACCAGCATGGGAGCCCAACCAGCATTACCTCTTTAAACTACCTTCTTCCTCTTCAAAGTGATCATTATTGTCTAATAGCCAAGGCAGGGACTTTCTCTTCATAGGTATTTGTAACAGCATCCAGCACAATGGGAGCCTAATCTCGACTGAGGCCTTTGGGGATTACTACAGTATAAAGTGATTAATAATTATAATTAATAATGTACGTATCATCTTAATTCTCTTTAGACCAGCAAAATTAACAGATGTGTGTTTGTGATTGTTCGTTTCTCCTGAGTGTATGTTTCTCTGTTTCTTATTGTAGACAGAAAGAATTTACTTTCAAGTGTTTTTACCTAAGGGAAGCAAGGAGAAGAGCAAACCCATGTTCTTTTGCAGTAAGTGGAGTATTGGCAAAGTAGTAGATTTTGCAGCTTGCTTAGCAGACCTTAAAAATGACAACAACAAGTCAACAGCCAAGGTAAATCAGTGGTAGCAATTTTCATTTAATGTTACAATTCTTTTTCTGTCCTTCATGCATGAATATGAATTAACAACAAGATTTTTTTGTGGGGGGCCTTTCTTGCAGAAATTAAGGCTGTGTCATACTGCATCTGGAGAAGCTTTGCCATTGGACCACACATTGGCTACTTGGCTATCCAATCAAGAGTGTCCATTATATAATGGTGGAAACATTATTTTGGAATACCTTGATAATGAAGATCAGTTTATAGAAAATACAAATTCATATTTAGAGTAGCTAATTGGTGAACTGGATGGAAACAAAGATCACCAGAAAAAACACTGAGCTAAATCCAAGCACAACTTACATTTAGAATGGGTTCAGACCTGATTCGGCCCTGAGCCAGCCAGACACAATTCCCACCAACTTTAGTGGGAGTTCCATCTGCATAACTGTGGGTAGAATTGAGCCCTATCTCTAAAAATAAATGTATATTTTTAATGTAGAACGGTTGTGGTTACTTAAAACAATAGTTTAACCCATTTAATAAATATTTGATGTTGGTCAATTTGAAATATTTATAAGATAGAAAGTGTTCCAGTCACAACTGGCACAGGATGCCTATGGGCAAGTAAACTAACTCATCCACCAGCTACCAGAACTTGGGAGTGGTTGATACTGCTAAAAAGAGAATGGATTGGTAAGCGGGCATCACCTCTATGCTATGAATCTTTCCATTTATTTTATTCTATTGCCATTATGCAACCAAATGAAATTTTTACCTTCGGTTTTGTATTTTAAAGTAGTTTTTGTACATTACAAAGTATTGATGAAAACAATAAATGAATTAATAATGTAAACCAGCAGAGTGAACAGTTAACTGAAGAGATAAGAAGCTCTTTATATTATTGGAGGGGATACCTGGTTTGACCTAGAGCCCTTCTCCATTCTACATCTGCCTCTTTTGTGGCTAAACAGAGTGACAGCCCGATTGAACAGAACAGTCCGGTACCTTTCTAAAGCACGACAGTAATGTATTTTTTTATTCTCTATTTCTTGCTTTTAAGAATGTACAGGACAGAGTTTGAAAAAAAACCCCATGTTTTACAAGCTCACAAGTGAGGAAGTATTGTCCAGTGGTTAGGAAGCTAACCTATGACTTGGAAGATCTGGGCTCAAGTCCCTACATGGTGACAGACTTCCAATGACACCTTGGACTTAGGCTCTCTATTCTTCAGTTTCCCATCTGCAAAATGGGGATGATAACATTTTCCTACATCCAAGGGGTGTTATAAGGATAAATACACCTCTACCCTGATAACGCGGTCCTCGGGAACCAAAAAATCTTACTGTCTTATAGATGAGACCGCATTATATCGGGGTAGGGAGAGGAACCGTTGCCCGCCCCAGCTCAGCTCAGCTCCGCCTCCTCCCCTGAGCACGCCACCTCCGCTCTGCTTCTCCCCCCTTCCTTCCGTCCTTTCCTTCCTTCCTTCCAGGCTTGCCGCGCCAATCAGCTGTTTGGCGTGGGAAGCCTGGAAGGAAGGAAGGGAGGAAGCAGGGGAGGAGGCGGAGCAGAGGTGAGCTGGGGCGGGGAGCGGTTCCTCTGCGCCCTCCCCCTCCCCCGCCCACCTCCACTCCACCTCTGCCGGAGCGGAGGTGAGCTGGGTCGGATGGGGCTGCAGCAAGTAAAGGGCGGGTGCAGAGGAACCGCTTGCAGAAACACGAATTCTGATATAACGAGTTAAAGTAGCCCCACTCCCCGGAGCGCTGCTTTCCCGCGTTATATCCGAATTTGCGTTACATCAGACCGCATTATATCGGGGTAGAGGTGTATATTAAAGATTCTGAGGCACTTACTTTCTACAGTAATTGGGGCCATATAAGTACCAAAGACAAGTACATTTTCATAACATGTAAAATGTTATTTAGCTAATTATCAGAGATATTTGAGTTTAAACAGGTGTCTTCTCCCAGGCAGGGACCCATGTCCCATGCTGCACATTCAACACAATAATGTGACAGGCAGGTCCTGCAGGTTTATGCAGCAGAAAGCTCAGGTTGTCTTACATGTGCAAAGCTTTCGATGCTTTCAGAATGGGAGTTTACACAAAGGGGAGTGACAACCTGACATACAGGAGTAGGCAGGATGGGAAGGCTTCTAAGTGAAGGGGTTTGCCTGTGCAGCTTTTAAGGAGTTCGGTAGAGCAAGCTCTTACCCTCTGAGAATGGCAAACCGAACCAAAGGGAGTGAGAAGTCAGGAAACCCAGAGTTGGGAAGATTGGGGGCCTCTCTGACTTGTGCTTTTTTTCTTGTGAGCTGGTAAATCTCCAGATGAACATTAGCACTGTTCACCCTCTACTCACCCCTTTTTCTCTCATGGTAACTGACTTGTGATAGGTAGGCAGCTAGTCATTAGTGAGGAAATGTTCAAAGCCACTAAGGGCAGTAAGGTGCCCAACTCAATGAAAAATCTCCCCCTAATTTTCTATCTTGACTTGGCTTTTCCTCTTGGCTTGTAGGTCTTTAAATATGAGCATGTATGCTGGCAGCATCTCTTCTTACCCCCCCATCTGGATATGCCGAAAGGCTGCTGCTTGTTTACCTTTAACCTCTCGGTCCCTCTTTAAGGCTCTTTGTGATGGGGCATTATTAAAGGATTTGAAAGCTATCACCACATGGCTGAGGGTGAAGTGTCAGCCTTCATTCTTTATTCTGTGCTTCCCCATAGTCCCTGAGGAACTATGCACCTTTATAAGAGGGTTTGGATTCTCAGGGGCAGGAGTCATGCCAAGCCTCTAGGGGTATGTCTACACTACGGAATAAGGTCGAATTTATAGAAGTCGGTTTTTTAGAAATCGGTTTTATATATTCGAGTGTGTGTGTCCCCACAGAAAATGCTCTAAGTGCATTAAGTGCATTAACTCGGCGGAGCGCTTCCACAGTACCGAGGCTAGAGTCGACTTCCGGAGCGTTGTACTGTGGGTAGCTATCCCACAGTTCCCGCAGTCTCCGCTGCCCATTGGAATTCTGGGTTGAGATCCCAATGCCTGATGGGGCTAAAACATTGTCGCGGGTGGTTCTGGGTACATATCGTCAGGCCCCCGTTCCCTCCCTCCCTCCGTGAAAGCAAGGGCAGACAATCATTTCGCGCCTTTTTTCCTGAGTTACCTGTGCAGACGCCATACCACTGCAAGCATGGAGCCCGCTCAGATAAACGTCACCCTATGTCTCCTGGGTGCTGGCAGACGCGGTACGGCATTGCTACACAGTAGCAGCAACCCCTTGCCTTGTGGCAGCAGACGGTACAGTACAAATGGTAGCCGTCATCGTCATGTCCGAGGTGCTCCTGGCCATGTCGGCTGGGAGCGCCTGGGCAGACATGGGCGCAGGGACTAAATTTGGAGTGACTTGACCAGGTCATTCTCTTTAGTCCTGCCTGCAGTCAGTCCTATTGAACCGTCTTATGGTGAGCGGGCAGGCGATACGGACTGCTAGCAGTCGTACTGTACCATCTTCCGCCGAGCAGCCATGAGATGTGGATGGCATGCAGTCCTTCTGCACCGTCTGCTGCCAGCCAAAGATGTAAAAGATAGATGGAGTGGATCAAAACAAGAAATAGACCAGATTTGTTTTGTACTCATTTGCTTCCCCCCCTCCCCTGTCTAGGGGACTCATTCTTCTAGATCACACTGCAGTCACTCACAGAGAAGGTGCAGCGAGGTAAATCTAGCCATGTATCAATCAGAGGCCAGGCTAACCTTCTTGTTCCAATAAGGACAATAACTCAGGTGCACCATTTCTTATTGGAACCCTCCGTGAAGTCCTGCCTGAAATACTCCTAGATGTAAAGCCACCCCCTTTGTTGATATTAGCTCCCTGAAGCCAACCCTGTAAGCGCCCCTCCCGGCGTCAGAGCAACGGCAAACAATCGGGCATCTGAGAGTGCTGTCCAGAGCAGTCACAATGGAGCACTCTGATGGGGCTAAAACATTGTCGCGGGTGGTTCTGGGTACGTATCGTCAGGCCCCCGTTCCCTCCCTCCCTCCGTGAAAGCAAGGGCAGACAATCATTTCGCGCCTTTTTTCCTGAGTTACCTGTGCAGACGCCATACCACGGCAAGCATGGAGCCCGCTCAGGTAACCGTCAGCCTATGTCTCCTGGGTGCTGGCAGACGCGGTACGGCTTTGCTGCACAGTAGCAGCAACCCATTGCCTTCTGGCAGCAGACGGTGCAATACGATTGGTAGTCGTCCTCGTCGTGTCCGAGGTGCTCCTGGCCACGTCGGCTGGGAGCGCCTGGGCAGACATGGGCGCAGGAACTAAATTTGGAGTGACTTGACCAGGTCATTCTCTTTAGTCCTGCAGTCAGTCCTATTGAACCGTCTTATGGTGAGCGGGCAGGCGATACGGACTGCTAGCAGTCGTACTGTACCATCTTCTGCCAGGCAGGCAAGAGATGAGGATTGCTAGCAGTCGTATTGTACCATCTTCTCCCAGGCAGGCAAGAGATGAGGATGGCTAGCAGTCGTACTGTACCATCTTCTGCCGAGCAGCCATGAGATGTGGATGGCATGCAGTCCTTCTGCACCGTCTGCTGCCAGCCAAAGATGTAAAAGATAGATGGAGTGGGTCAAAACAAGAAATAGACCAGATTTGTTTTGTACTCATTTGCCTCCTCCGCTGTCTAGGGGACTCATTCCTCTAGGTCACACTGCAGTCACTCACAGAGAAGGTGCAGCGAGGTAAATCTAGGCATGTATCAGTCAGAGGCCAGGCTAACCTCCTTGTTCCAATAAGAACAATAACTTAGGTGCACCATTTCTTATTGGAACCCTCCGTGAAGTCCTGCCTGAAATACTCCTTGATGTACAGGCACCCCCTTTGTTGATTTTAGCTCCCTGAAGCCAACCCTGTAAGCCGTGTCGTCAGTCGCCCCTCCCTCTGTCAGAGCAACGGCAGACAATCGTTCCGCGCCTTTTTTCTGTGTGGACGCCATACCAAGGCAAGCATGGAGGCCGCTCAGCTCACTTTGGCAATTAGGAGCACATTAAACACCACACGCATTATCCAGCAGTATATGCAGCACCAGAACCTGGCAAAGCGATACCGGGCGAGGAGGCGACGTCAGCGCGGTCACGTGAGTGATCAGGACATGGACACAGATTTCTCTGAAAGCATGGGCCCTGACAATGCATGCATCATGGTGCTAATGGGGCAGGTTCATGCTGTGGAACGCCGATTCTGGGCTCGGGAAACAAGCACAGACTGGTGGGACCGCATAGTGTTGCAGGTCTGGGACGATTCCCAGTGGCTGCGAAACTTTCGCATGCGTAAGGGCACTTTCATGGAACTTTGTGACTTGCTTTCCCCTGCCCTGAAGCGCATGAATACCAAGATGAGAGCAGCCCTCACAGTTGAGAAGTGAGTGGCGATAGCCCTGTGGAAGCTTGCAACGCCAGATAGCTACCGGTCAGTTGGGAATCAGTTTGGAGTGGGCAAATCTACTGTGGGGGCTGCTGTGATGCAAGTAGCCCACGCAATCAAAGATCTGCTGATATCAAGGGTAGTGACCCTGGGAAATGTGCAGGTCATAGTGGATGGCTTTGCTGCAATGGGATTCCCTAACTGTGGTGGGGCTATAGACGGAACCCATATCCCTATCTTGGCACTGGAGCACCAAGCCGCCGAGTACATAAACCGCAAGGGGTACTTTTCGATAGTGCTGCAAGCTCTGGTGGATCACAAGGGACGTTTCACCAACATTAACGTGGGATGGCCGGGAAAGGTGCATGATGCTCGCATCTTCAGGAACTCTGGTCTGTTTCAAAAGCTGCAGGAAGGGACTTTATTCCCAGACCAGAAAATAACTGTTGGGGATGTTGAAATGCCTATATGTATCCTTGGGGACCCAGCCTACCCCTTAATGCCATGGCTCATGAAGCCGTACACAGGCAGCCTGGACAGTAGTCAGGAGCTGTTCAACTACAGGCTGAGCAAGTGCAGAATGGTGGTAGAATGTGCATTTGGACGTTTAAAGGCGCGCTGGCGCAATTTACTGACTCGCTTAGACCTCAGCGAAACCAATATTCCCACTGTTATTACTGCTTGCTGTGTGCTCCACAATATCTGTGAGAGTAAGGGGGAGACGTTTATGGCGGGGTGGGAGGTTGAGGCAAATCGCCTGGCTGCTGGTTACGCGCAGCCAGACACCAGGGCGGTTAGAAGAGCACAGGAGGGCGCGGTACGCATCAGAGAAGCTTTGAAAACCAGTTTCATGACTGGCCAGGCTACGGTGTGAAAGTTCTGTTTGTTTCTCCTTGATGAAACCCCCCGCCCCTTGGTTCACTCTACTTCCCTGTAAGCTAACCACCCGCCCCTCCTCCCTTCAATCACCGCTTGCAGAGGCAATAAAGTCATTGTTGCTTCACATTCATGGATTCTTTATTCATTCATCACACAAATAGGGGGATGACTACCAAGGTAGCCCAGGAGGGGTGGTGGAGGAGGGAAGGAAAATGCCACACAGCACTTTAAACGTTTACAACTTTAAAATTTATTGAATGACAGCCTTCTTTTTTTTGGGCAATCCTCTGTGGTGGAGTGGCTGGTTGGCCGGAGGCCCCCCACCGCGTTCTTGGGCGTCTGGGTGTGGAGGCTATGGAACTTGGGGAGGAGGGCGGTTGGTTACAGAGGGGCAGCAGTGGCAGTCTGTGCTCCAGCTGCCTTTGCTGCAGCTCAACCATACACTGGAGCATACTGGTTTGGTCCTGCAGCAGCCTCAGCATTGAATCCTGCCTCCTCTCATCACGCTGCCGCCACATTTGAGCTTCAGCCCTGTCTTCAGCCCGCCACTTACTCTCTTCAGCCCGCCACTTCTCCTCCCGGTCATTTTGTGCTTTCCTGCACTCTGACATTATTTGCCTCCACGCATTCGTCTGTGCTCTGTCAGTGTGGGAGGACAGCATGAGCTCGGAGAACATTTCATCGCGAGTGCGTTTTTTTTTTCTTTCTAAGCTTCACTAGCCTCTGGGAAGGAGAAGATCCTGTGATCATTGAAACACATGCAGCTGGTGGAGAAGAAAAAAGGGACAGCGGTATTTAAAAAGACACATTTTATAAAACAGTGGCTACACTCTTTCAGGGTAAACCTTGCTCTTAACATTACATACATAGCACATGTGCTTTCGTTACAAGGTCGCATTTTGCCTCCTCCCACCGCGTGACTACCCCCTCAACCTTCCCCCCTCCCTGTGGCTAACAGCAGGGAACATTTCTGTTTAGCCACAGGCAAACAGCCCAGCAGGAATGGGCTCCTCTTAGTGTCCCCTGAAGAAAAGCACTCTATTTCAACCGGGTGACCATGAATTATATCTCACTCTCCTGAGGATAACACAGAGAGATAAAGAACGGATGTTGTTTGAATGCCAGCAAACATACACTGCAATGCTTTGTTCTACAATGATTCCCGAGTACGTGTTACTGGCCTGGAGTGGTAAAGTGTCCTACCGTGAAGGACGCAATAAGGCTACCCTCCCCAGAAACCTTTTGCAAAGGCTTTAGGACTACATCTAGGAGAACCGCAAATGCCAGGGCAAAGTAATCCTTTCACATGCTTGCTTTTAAACCATGTATAGTATTTTAAAAGGTACACTCACCAGAGGTCCCTTCTCCG